CTCTTGAGCACATTCCACAAGCCTGCTGTGTCTCTGCTTTCTGTGTGTTTAATGAAGAAACAATGTACAACTTCACAGCAGTGTGTCAGTGTAAAGATCAAAAGAGATGAGGGATCCAGTCTAGTTTGCCGAGGTTTGGGGCCTGGCGTCCCACTTGTCCATCCGCAATTCCCTTCACAGTACTGCAAATCTCTAAATAGCGTACTGCGAATTTCAAAAAAATAAAAGGGCCAGGGATTTAGCTCAGTGGTTCTGGCGTCTGCCTCGCAAGCACAAGGACCGGAGTTCAATCCCCGGTACAGAAAGAAAAGAAAGAAAGAAAGAAAGCCGATAAGTTTTTAACATTTTCCCTTTTCTTACCGATATAAATGGATCCTGGATATTACGGGCATTTCAAGTACATTTGTCGTTACAAGGTGTGGTGAAAAATGAATATAGCTAGAGAATGTTTGTGTTGCCTGCATTATGATTTCCCTTTCTATAAGAAAAGAAGAATACTTTCACTCAGTGAGAAATTGGGAACTGCTGGTTTCTGATTTGTAAATCTTTTGATGGGCATATGAGTTCTCAACTTTCATAATTTAGTGTCTGCAAACAACTGGAGTCACAGAGGTACACAGACCACACAATTCGTAAGACTGGCAGGGAGGTTGGGGATGTAGCTCTTGGGGCCACCGCCTCCCTCACATGCACAAGGTCCTGAGTTTGATCCCCAGTACCCCCCCAAAAGAATGGCAGAGAGCAGCACAGGACTTGGATATGATCAAACATTTCCATACATGTAAGGAAACTCCACAGTGAAATTCAGTCAGAAGAATAGCAGAGTGAAAAGCAGTCACAATTAAAGGCTCACAAGTGTCAGACAAAGGAAACAGAATTACATTAATCAACACTAGACTGTTTTCTAGTCTCCTTTGGCCTGATTTTTAAATTTAGTTCCAAAATATTCTTTAGTGGTCATCTTAGCCAACACTGAATTGGGAAAATGAGGCAGTAGAGACGCTGCTGGCCAAAAAGCTGAGGTAGCCCTGTCATACTAACAGTCCTGTCTTGTTTTATGATGGAAACAAGTTCTGAGAGAAAACCATCCTAGCGGGTCTTTAGAAAAGACAAAAGCCAAAAGCTTCTATTGAACAAGGTACCTCATTTTAGTAGACAGTGGAAAATGCTGAGTTAATCAAATGATGGCTTACAAAGGGTGAAAAGTAAGTAGATGTGGCTCCATCAAATAAAAGATTGTTCACATTTTAAGATCTCTTAAGCAAATTCTTTCTTTTTAAATGGTGTTTGGAATTGAACTCAGGACTTTCCACATTGAGCTACATCCTCAGTGATTTTTATTTTGAGACAGAGTCTCAAAAAGTTGCCCAGGCTAGGTTATTTGAGAATGGGATTGCCTGGTTTATTTGAGCAGATTTCTCAGTCTGGAGCACCAATCGTGACCCAGCTGTGTGGTGCAGGCAGAGTGGTCTGAGCACCCAGTGAGGGGCCAAGCTGACGAGCCGTGGGGCCCCCTTACATCCTCATTATTTTTGAAGAGCAAATTAGTGCCGGTATGATAATCACTTCAGTACATCTTTTAGGACTCCAAATAATGAAGTTGGTTTTTAGGGGGGAAAAACTAATATTTACTTTTCAATAAAATGGCTGTTTTCAACTCCCTGTTTTTATTTGCTCATTTCATAGACAGTGTATTTTGGAACTGTGTGTTTGGAGGTGATTTGCACTTTCCTAATAAGGTAAGTTAGCCTTCCCTATACAATGGGATATCCATTTTATAGAATGGTCTCACAAATGGAAGGTAAAAAAAAAATCAGAGACACAGTACTAACTGGCTTGCTTTTACACTGTTTGTGTTTCTGTTCTGGATGGAAGGGGGAAAATGCACACGAACTTGATCCAACTCCAGGCACAGTCGCAGCTACACAGACATGTGAGCACATCCCCCACAGGGAGAGGCTGCAGCATAATGAGATGCCGCCCATCGAATGCCCATTTCCTCTAAAGTGTAAAAATAATAAAAAGAACTGCTTGGAAATACTGCTCGTCTCCAGCCATTAAATGTCCTTGGTTTTGACTTCCGCCTCATAACAGCTGAACACGATGGCAATTTTCCATAACAACATGCATCTCAGATGATTCACTGCTGAATTCAACCTATATTCTTTTTACTGTAATGAAAGAAATAGATGTAAGTCTGCCCACAGAGAAACACAGATAATCCAACAGTGACAATGGGGGATAGAGATGTATAGATATATAAACAGATACACATAGATTCTATTTGGGGAGACCTTTCGGAGGAATACTGCTACCTGAAACTTCAAAAAACTTGAGGGAGAAAATTTCCCTTGTCTTCTTTTCATAAATGAAGCGATTGCAAAGACACTTTAAGCTCATCCCATGTAATTTCTCTGAACTTAATTCGCTCTTTATAAGTAGAGGAACTCAGTAGAGAGTACTAGTACTTTCTTTCTCAACTTATTTGGCATAGGTAAATGTGGTTATTCTGAGTTAAATCGTGTCCCCGATGAGTTCATGTCCATCTAGAACCTGTCAGTGAGGGCTTATCTGGAAAGAGAATCTTTGCAAATGAATCAAGCTCAGATAGGGTCACGCTGGATCACCACGGGCCTTAATCCAACAGCTGGTGTCCTAGTAGGCGGAAGGACGTTTGGACGGACGGATGGACGGACACACACACACAGACACACACACACACACACACACACACACACACACACACACACACACACACACAGAGAACAGGCCAGGTAAAGACACAGCAGAGAATGGAGTAATGCCAAGACAGCTGCCAAAAGTTGAGGACAGATTCACGAGGCCATTTTTTTCCTCAGAGCTGTCAGGGAGAGGAATCTGGTTGTGTTACAGTATGAATTCAAACTGTAGCCTCCAGAAATGTGGGAGAATAAACTTCTATTTTTATAGGTAACTCAATCGATGTAAATTTATTACAACAACCTTAGCAAAGCAATCAAGTCATTATTCTCCTGACCTCTAAATTAATCATACAAATATTGATCCTATGTAATATGGCTAGGAAACTGCCTGTTTCTCTTTTCTCAAATTGAAATAAAAGACATTTAAAAAAGGAACACATGAATTTTTAAGAACACATAATATTCCAAGCAATCAACTTTTATTTTTCTGAACTGTTTACCCCAAATGGCCATCCTTCTTCGAGCACCAAAAATAATATTTAGTATTTACTCTTAAAGCCATACTTGTGAACCAAAAATATTGACAAAGATGGTAATTTTCAGGAAATCTATCAAAACAATAGTCTCAACTCACATAGGAAGACACGAAGGTGAGGGAAGAAGGTAATGATATTTTGGAAAAGGTAAGCAAACTATTATACCTTTAAGTCAGGTAGCAGCACATACAGCTCTTGCCAAAGACTGGTTGCTCAATAAGTGTTCAATGAATTAGTTAATTTCTAATTAAACTATATCAAAGATCACTAATGTTTATGCCTGTTAAGTCTTAGTAGTCACTGTTCTAAACAAGTCTGCATGTCCAACTGATCTATAACTCTATAAACTCACAATTTTTATATTCAATGAATTAAATACATATGGCAAGAATTTGTTCACTGATTTGACAGGAATTTTTCAAATACTACCACAGGCAAGGACCTACATGGACAAACAGATATGGCCCTTGCCTTATTAGAGCTCGAAATTGGCAAGGAGAGATGGGTACTATGCGCAGACTGACACTGAGGATGGAATTGTGGCAGAACAGGACGCCGCACGGACTCCTAATGGAAGACAGACTCATTTGGGCTGGGACAGCCTAGGGGTCCAGAGGAGGATTCCCCTGGGACTGGAGGATGAGTAGGAATGTAGCAAAAAGAACAAATTGGGTATAAGAGGTGTTTGAAAACACTAAGAGAGCCAAGTGTAAAGCCAAGCTGGTGTCCTGCCCAGAGACCCGGCCTGACTGCTAGGAGGAGTGCTGTGAAATCACACCAGGCTCGGGGAGGCACAGAGGACACAGAAGCTTTATCTGACCCAAGGGGCCAAAAAGAATTTTTAAAATAGCAGCACCAGCTTAAGGCAACAGACTAAAACCTACATCAATTTTATTTCCTCCTAAAAACTGTAACTAAAAACAACATTAAAGAAACTATTAAAAAAAAAAGATCCAAGTCCACTCAGCAGCAACAAAGGTATGGAAGTTAAAATAGCTGATGATCAAGAAGTAACTAATTTAACATATTCAGCAAAGCCAAATAGAAGCCTTCAGCAGAAAAGCTGAGAGCCAACCCAATTAATACTGCAGAATCCTCAAAAGGCTCCAAGACTGGCTGTGTCTGAACATGAGGGTGAACAGGAGGCTCATAAAAGAAATGCAGGGGTCTGTATGGGAGCAGTCAGACCTGTGACATTTTCCTTGTATCCACTACAGAATACAACATTCGCTCCTAGCCATCCCTGAAGAGGATGGAAAACGCTAAGTCCCAAGCACAGTTTCAAAAGTGTTAAGAACTTGGAGATCCGTTTCAGCTGAGATATATATTTCCGAGTGCTTCCAGACTGCAGGCGCACCCAGCAGAAGGTACAGTAAGTAGCAGACGCAGGACAAGTTTCATGAGACATCAAGAAGACTAACCCATCGGGAGAACCGACATTCACAATCATTCCTATCAAACAAACAGTAATATCAGACAGGCCGTGCATTCTTTTGCTTTTTGGCAGGAGAGGAGGGGATGAAGAGGCGATTTATATTATAGAAAAGAACAACGACCTGAAAAAGTTTCAATTGGCCTCTTATAATACAGATCTTTATAAAGATGATTGTTTAAAAAAAAAAAAAACAGCAAAGTGGAAGGGACATAAATTTCAATATTTGAAATGGGAAACTGGCCCAGAAGATAGCTTTTACTAATAGTGAGAAAAGATTTGACAGGGAATACTTTTTCAACTATTTACGCTTGAAAAGGGTAGCCAAAGGGCTAAGAAGCAAAAACTTACCTTAAACACTTCCATTGGAAGAGGAGACTCTGCGGCAGCAATAAGGGATTTTTCCAGAGCAAATTTCCACTCAGAGGTCATCTTCAAAGGATAGATCTCTGTATCAACAGCAAACCACAGAAGAGTTTAAGGGCTGCGGTTTCTGCTGGTTTCTTGAATTTTACCTCCCTTTACTTCTGTGACACACCAGCATTCTTAGGAGTCATCAGATTTCAGACTCTACCTGCCATAATGGCCACCTGCTAAAGGGAGTTTCTGAAATTAAATAGCAATGTGGGATCCTGCTATCAGAAATGAAGAATAAACTTAATACAGCTCTTCCTCGGGGAACATCTGTATGCATTTTGTGAACACTCTGTAAGTGATTTAATGGTATTAATCACATCAGCAGACCCTTCAGTCATCTACAGCCCCAAATTCAACACATTACCCAAGACGTACTAAGCACTGATGAAGCACTTATTACTTGTTAAGCTTCTAAACCACAAACGACTCTTGTCTGGCATTTACAGTTATTACTGCATATTTTTCACCAAATCTCTAAGCTCTCACACACTAAAAGTAGTCCATATAACTCACGAGATTATTAAAGGATAGATTAAAATGTACCAAACAAGTTTCATATTTACACTTGAAATGTTGCTAACACATCACATGTTGCCCGTATTTTTCCCTGGGCAGTTGTGGGAGAGGTGGGAGGGAGATTTATGCACAGTGGTTACACAGTCTGAATGCAAAATTAAAAAGGGCAAAAATGTTGAGCACTGTTTTTACCTATTGCTGAGAGTGTAGAGGAATTTTATGGCCTGATCTCAATAGATTTAAGACCTTATCGAAATAGTATTTGCAGAAGCACTCACTGAAAGTAGATATGTTTATACCTTCACTCTATCAAGCCAGGCTACTCCAACAGACAGCAAGGATATGAATATGAATTTAAGCACAGTTAAAAGGCAACAGTAAACCTTTGGGCTATATTTTTAATTTCTTGCGTGTCTGCTTTTTTTAGCACAAAGTCATATATTTGGATTCTCATAGCTTCTGAACTCCCTGTGGGCTTTAAGCCCCTCTGGTTTAGCAGCTGATTTAGTCATTTCAGGACATAATTAAGGTGGGTGCAAAACGCCTCCGGAACAAGCCAAGTTATCGATATATCGCCTGCACTCACTGTTCATGACACAAAGATACAAAGAGTGGCTTCTGACAAAAATATCCTCTGGTGGCACATATGGTCTGTAACCCTTTCCAGCGTTTAAAGTAGTCTTTTATTTTTTTTTCAATTTTGTATTCTATGTCAGTACAAAAAAAAGATGTAGTTTTTCTTAGAAGTATCTATCAAATTTGGGGACACAGTAGGACTTCAGTAAACGAAGGAGTGGCTCCACTACAGATGAGAAGAGGCATAGTGGGGGCGGTACTGCTTGTCACAAGGTCCCGCCCGCTAGGCAAGAGGGCCAGTTCGTGGAGCCCTAAAAGCTGCTCCACGAGGATGGGAAAGATACCTCGAAACTGAGCTTGGTTCCGTCCAAGGCACCACAGAAAAGCCTTGGGGGAGGGGCAGCATTCAGAGAGGCCCAGTATTCACCAAGACAGTGGTTCAAAGAGAGATGCTGGGGGAACAGTGCCCAAGACACGAGTCCTCCTCAAGAAACGCAAGCAAATCACCGTCCCAGCCAGTGGAGAGCAGGCAGGTGAGAAGCTTGACGCGGCAGTGGCCGGGAAAGGACCAACTCAGGAGAAATGACGCGGATCTCCAAAGCCAAGGGCAAAGAATGAATCTGAAGACACAAAGGGCAAGGGAAAGGAAAAGCTCAGACCCGGGGGGTCGTACCTCTGCGCTCGCTCCATAACCCTGACCCGTCTCCCCCTTGACTGCGATGTCTGAGTAAGGGGAGGGGAGTCCGAGACAGGGAGGAGGGTGAAAGGGTGCTCATAAAACTACTCCAGGTCAAAGGGATGGAAACCCAGTGTGGGTGGGCTAGACCCAAACCAGCAGGACTCTGTGGAGGGTGCAAACCCTCCAGGCTGCAGAGCCTCCTGATCCCGGTCTCACACACACGGGCAACTGGAGAACTGGCTCCAAGTCACGTCCACCAAGCTGGCTCCTGTATCCACCCAGAGCCGCCTCTCTCCCTCCATGGCAGAGACAAAGGAATGCACACCTTGGGTTCTAGGTGACTTCTGCCTCTGTCCTAAAAGCTTAAGATTCTTTGCCTTTTTTTCTGAAGCTATGAAACCCTGTAGTGAAATCTAACCCCATGGCAAGACGTCCTTCTTTCTTGAAGAGGTGAAGCTCCGCTGCAGATCTATCAGTCCGGTCAGCCACCTGCAGAGGCTAAACACCCCGGAGAAATAAGAAGCAGAGAACAATGTCCCCTGTGGTGCGCTCTTCGGGAGACACAGCTACTCTGGTTCTGCCAGTGAGTTTATGGACAATAAATGGTTCCATTAAAAGGAGATAAAACATGTTCTATACATAGACTGTGTAGCAGGTGATTTAATAGCATACATCATGCCAATCTCTGTTTGTGAGGAACTCACGAGCAATTAACATGTGTCCTCATTCACCTGTAACTAGAAACCTCCAAGAAAATGAGGCCATCTCCCTTCATGCAAGGATCTGGCAAGTTGTTCTGTAATAAGTGTTGCAGAAGACTGGGATGTGCAACATAACCATAAATAAATAGATGGCTACAGATAAACCAAAGCCTTAAGGAGTGCTCCCTTCTTTTGTGTGCCAAACTCCCACCACACTTCTGCTTTCTCCTTCTCCAGTAGGCCTTCTCAGTGAAGAGAGACCACTGTATGGTCAGGATACTAATCCTAGCAAAGTATTCTACACTGAATGCCTGAGCCCCACCCCAACCCGCAGGCAGGAGCCCTCCTCCCCAGTGTGGCATGGTTAGTGGAAGCGCTCTGAAGGGTGACCGGGGTCTGGAGGTTATGTGGCAAGAGTCCTCAGGGTGAGACCGGTGTGCCAATGAGAAGGGATGACAGAGCACGCCCCCCGCCCGCTGTGTGAAGACTCAGCCAGAGGCGACTGTGTCCAAGCCAGGGACACAGGCCTCCCTGGACCCAAACCGCACCCTGACCTCAGTGCTCTGCCCTCTAGAACTCTTGAGAAAATCAAAGTGTTGCTGAAGCCTCCCAGCCCCAGCTGTTTTATCACGGTGGCCCAAGATGACAGATACTAAACGCACCAGAGAAACAATTTAGGCAGAAAGAATTTAAGTTAGATTCATAAACTTCCTGACTCTGCAAACTATTTAAAACTTAAAAAATATACATATATATAAAATGACTGAGAGAAGGATTTTGAAGGAAAACAATTATGAAACATGCTAGAAATGGGGAGGGGGCCCTCAAAATTTTTCATTTCTTTAGATGCTCTAAGGACACATAAAAGTCCACCTTGCTTTCTGAACTTCTATAAAGTAGAAAAGAAGGGCTCTTAAATGACCCCTGACTTCAACGTGCCACTAACACTCCTTAAAAAACCAAGGCTTGAGCACAACACTGACCAAGTCTGAATCTCTAGAAACTGCCAATTACTTGATGCGCCACAGAGCCCAGCAAATGAGGAATTACCCCTGTTTTCCAGAGTTCAGTGGCTTCTCCCACTCTTTCCCTTCTCAGCCATCAGGGCGCTGTGCCCCTGACGTGGGCCAGACGCTGAAGGGCTCGATAACTATGTAGTCTCGGCCGTGAACGGCAACACATCCAGCACCTTCTTCTCCTAGAGTTTTGGAAGAATCACCTCCCGGCTACTTTCCCCTGTGGGTACTGGACAGTTGAGAAATACCGTGCCCTTTAAAAGGTAAAGAGAAAAAGGAAAACCAAAAGAAGAGTGAGGACTATTTTTAACAGCAGGAGAGCGTCAGTGGGGAAAAGAATGAAGAGAGAGCTGGGAGGGGTCGGCTGGCACAGCCTTCTCCGAGAAGGCCCACGGCATCCGCTGTGAGCGCAGCGTGCGGACGGAGGCAGTGGTGGGGGCTATCAGTTCACGCTCACAGTTTTCATCCATTAAATAGTGTTTGGGGCTAAGAAAACCAACCTCGAATAATCTGTGCAAGTCTAAAATTTTATTGCAGCCTATATTTCAGTGAAGGAAATGGTGCTACGACGTAAGTTGTTCAAGTCACACTGGGATCTGAAATTAATTTACACAAATCCAAAGTATCAGGTTCCGTTCCCATGTGTAAAAACCTAGGCAGTAATTGTCTTTCTTCCCAGGGGTGCTGCTTCACTGACTGAGGCAAGAGAATCCTGTTTTCGTCTTGTAACTACTGCATTTAAGGAAATAAAAGTCACATTTTGAGTATCTTTTTTACCGCCTATTTTATTCTTCCCAAACATAACCTTTCTTGCTGACAACATAAATACTGGAGAAGTGAGCTTTTGATAATAAATGCCTCTTCCAAATTCATTAAGAAGCTACACAAACTCTTTAGTAAAATGAACAACTTGTGTCCAAAAAACTCTAAGACAAGCACTATTTATTTCTACGCTAAGAAAACATGAAATTATCTCGAGGGAGAGAGCTCAGTAGCAAATATTCCCTAAGTTTCTACAGCTTCTACACTTTTCCGTCTGAGATCCAGCATTTCACAGGAAAAGAAAATGACAGAAGACGTAAGAAGCTACATGAAATGATTTGTTTTGCTATGAATTTGTCCACAGGCAAGTGTATGTCTCTCCTACAAGTTACAAAGCAATTAGACACTAAGCTGAGATTTATACACCCACCTTTCCCTGCAAAGTAAATTTTTCCTGCCAGGTTGTGAATCCCAAAGCAAACCCAAGCCCAGATCTTTTCTCACAATATGCCAGAGCCTTTTGTTTATCGCTATCCAAAACCGTTCAGGGTATAAAAGAATTTCCTGGCTGCCTCTCAAAGTGTTGGCAACAGCAATATGTAATACCAGGTTATGTGTCTATGTACCTGTCAGATTTAACACAGATACAAACACACATGATACATAACTAGGAAGCTCTTTTCAATTAACGCTCTTGAGTGACATAAAAGGTATATATAACCTCTCACCTTCGCATACTCAAGATACACTGGCAACTAACATAGGAGGGAAATCTCCTTGCTTTTAATAAAAAGCAAGGCACTAAGTATTCCCTCCAAATATACCTACAAAACTGACCAGAATGAAGATCAACAATTTCTGATAGAAAGGAGTATTTCTTTCTTGGTTTAGCATCTTTAATTCCGTGCAAATCCAACAGCTTTGCTTTGAGGGTTCCCTTCAAAAGGTCTGTAAGACCAGTACGGATCTGCAGGGTAAATGGGGCACAAAGGACACAAGACCTGGGGATCTGAACCATCTAGGGAAGCTTGAATGAGTAGCTTAACCCAATCTCATTTTTATCTGCTGTCAAATGAAATTCACACCAAACACAGAGCACTTTTTTGAAATCAAAACAAACAGCAGAGCAGATGTAAAATCAGCTGGCACACAGTAAACATTCAGGAATGGTTATTTTGTAAATACTGAGCTTTTTGACTAGTCAGGTGTGACAAAAAGCACAATGCACTGTTTTCTTCAATTAAATCTGGGCAACATTGCTTGACGATACATCTGGAGCTATCTACAACGGATGGTGCTTTGGATTAAGGTGGAGGCACGGAGTCATGATGATCTCCTGTGCTATTTCCGGTCAAAATGGATTATATAAGGACAAGCGTGGATTTAGATATTCAGATGGACAGGTGACCAGATGGATAAGTGATTAGATGGATGAAAACAGCTACGTGGATGGAGAGGTGGGTTGGTGTGAATGGATGGATCTGTGCGGGGCTGAAATGGTGACTGTGCAGATGGCTAGGGAGAGGGATCAAGGGACGGACAGACAGACAGACAGCCAGACAGACAGATGGACAGATGGGCAGAGGGAGCCTACTTGCAAGGTTATCAAAATCCCTAAAAGGCAGAAAATATGTTCAAAGCCCAAGCTACTGTGTCTTTCATTTAGGAACCAGTGATTCTAACGAAGTAAATCAACTTCCCTAAGTCTTCTAACATTACTTTCTCCTTTAAGAATGCTGCTGATTAAAGTTTCAGATTTTAATCTCTACACAAAGTATGCTGGAGTTAACAAGTTTAAAATTCACATACTCGGTTGTAAAAGATACCACAGAGACAACCACAGACACAACCAAGAAAACATCGTCTCTTTTAGTTAAATGCTTTACAACAGCAAGGTCTTCGGCCCTTACCTGAAGGAGGGTCCATTCTGTATTTATTCTCTTGACACCAACCAACTGGTCGAAGTCTGTAATCCAAGTAAAACAACCACTGGTCATAGGATTCAGTGTCCTCCAATCCCACATAGCGAAGGCGTAATCTTCCTCCAACATTTTCAATCACACTAACTATCCAGTACTGAAAAGGGTTCTGAGAATCCTGAAGTTCTATTAAGGAATCAACTGTAATGAGGTCTATAGGGCCTTTCCCTCGCAGAGGCTGTTTAAACAGAAGCAAAACTCCTTATTTTAAACTTTCTTTTAAGGTTCTCATGGAAACAGATGACAGCAGAAGATAATATTTTTTTCACACCATCATCCAAGCTATTGGCAAACAGTCTGGTGTTTCCCACCACCCCCATCCTCCTCCACGCAGCCGTCACCCCCCTGCCCTCCCTCCCCTTTCTTCCTTCACACACATCAATGTACCCAATGCTGTACCCAACAACAAACATCACAAGTAAACAGAAAATGACAGTTTAGGCTTCAAACAAATCACCCTTCCCAGGTAAACTTGCATTTGTTTAAAAAAAAAAAAAAAGCACAAGTACACTTTTAAGAAGAAGAATACCCAAATTTGCCTGGAGCTAGAAAATATGTGGTAGCAAAATATCTACTTTTCAAATAGAGAGATGTATCCAATACAGGGCAATAGATTTAAACCATGACTCATCAAGAGACCTTCATCTCATGATGGCCAATTCTCTAATAACCAAGACTCGCTGGTAATTTGATTCAGTAAATCAAGTATAACCCTGTGTAGATGAGATGACTAACACACACTTACGGTTAGTGAAATTTGACTACTACAGAAAGTTATTTCTGCATTATCCACTTAATCTAGCAATTGACTTGGAAAGGACATCATTATTGACCCTCCTAAGGAACTTTCTTGATGTACGTTGACACATGAAAAGGGTGTTTGTTCAGCCAGCCTTTTAGGCAAATATATTTTTATAAATTAGCATAATATGAAAATGTGTCCCTTTGAAAAGGTGAACAACCATCATTTTGGTTTGTTGACTTAACAATTAAAAATAGCAGCAATTAAAAAGTCACAAAACAAAAGCTGTTAAGTGAGCTGGTGTACTCTGAAGTATCAATACTATTTCTGAGAAGGTAATAATAATAATAACTTAAAATCTGCACCAGTTAATGCCAGTTGGTCATTAAATTTTCCCCTTTTCAGAGGCATTCTTTTTGTTTGTTTTTTTGGTACCAGGGATCGAACTCAGGACCTTGTGCTTGTGAGGCAGGCGGCAGCACCACTGAGCTAAATCCCTGGCTTCAGAGACATTCTTAAGACACTCAGTACTTATCACTTAGTCATTGCCTATTCAAAGATACTCTATAAGACTCTGTTTACAATCACTAATACAGGAGATAGGCTTACACCTCTGGGATAATGGGAAGATACCTTTACAGAGAATTTTAAAACGCATTCACATAGAGCATAATTCCCATTTAGCGACAGGGGAAGATTTAGTTAGTGACATTCAACTCCTGTCGCCCAAGCCATTCAGTACAAACAGGAAGTCCAGCTACTTGAATAAAGATATTGTGTACAAATATGCATCTGCAGAAGGATATATGCAAAGGTGCCATTAGGTCTGAGTTCACGGGGCGGGGATGCTTCAGAGATATAATAGATGTAGAATAGCAATACATACACCTTCCAGGAGGTTGGCAGGTGCTGTCCGAGAGCCAGTCAAATCGCGTATGAGGAATTCTGTCCAGTCTGTGTACTTCTCTTTGATTGCTGGCAAGATAGGGAGGAAACAAAACAAACTTCAACACATCAGTAAAATAGTATATACACTTAAAATCACTGCAGTTTTCTGTATGTTGGTATAATTTCAACAGTTTTCCTAATTTTAAGCACAGTGCTTAAATAAATAGTACTACCATTGGAACAACAAACATGTCAACGGGTTGTGACTTAACACCTACCAAGTGCCTGGGTACCTAGGAGATCAAAGAACCTGAGGTCTTAAGCTCTGACAGACTATTTAGAACCCCCCGGGAACACCACAGCAGATATTACAAAGCACGTGATTCAGGAGGTTCTAAGAAAAAGGGACATCAGTGAAGGACAGAGAAATCAGAGAAAATTTTCAGTGAGAAAATAAAACCAGGCTCTCATGTACAGAAAAGATTTACACAGTGGGGAAGAAAGAAGGGGGTCCCCCCCCCAGAGTGAGAGAAAACAATACACGCTAATCAGAGCGACGAGTCCAAGAGAAATGGAGAAACAACGTAATCAGCGATGAGGTTTAAGCAAGCAGCCCTAGAAAATAATGATGAACGGACAGCTGAAAAGGTGGACAAAGACATTTAATCAACGAGATCTCTGCATGCAACGAATCTGGCAGTACTGTGAAGGTGTAAATGGTAACGAAAGAATTCAAAAGCGGGCTGCTCCAGTTCCACAGAAATACCAAGTGGCGGCATCTGCAAGTGAGGTGCCAGCCCTGTGAACAGAAGCGCAGGACTTGGGCATCTTTTGAAAAACAAAAAACAAAGAGCCATCGGCCCCTGGGGGCCAACATCCTACAAGTGCTCAGGACCCACAGGTAAGAGCAATGTCCCTTCTTGATGACTCTCCTAAACTACGGGTCTTCAAAGCCTTGGCAAACTTAACCCAGGTTCCCGAGGGTCTGAGCCATTGTGGGAGGACAACAGACCTACTGGGGTCAGCAAGAGCAACACACTTGCTGAGTATTCTACCAACACACGCCGGGGTTCTTACATTCCCAGCACAAGGAGGTCCCGGAAGCAGCGGGTGAGCGGCTTAACGAAGCCAGCACGAAAACAAAGGTCCGGCCACCTCCAAGTTTCCGATGAGGACAAGATACCGAACTGAACTGGGTAACTGAACTCGAATTACATGCCGGAAGTATCGTCAAGGAAGGAGTGCTCCTGCGTTTGACAGCACTCATTCTCATATCCAGTCTGAGAAAATCAATTCTCCTCTTAAAGACTGCTTCCAAATATGTACACATGCAAGTTAAAATTTTAAAATCTGCAAGTAGTCGCCCACAGAGACACTGTGCAGTGCCACTATTCCAACTGTCAGACGCCTAGCAAGAGAGCACTGGAGATGGCTCTGGAATTTACGTGCGTGAGCCCTGACCGAGTTCCAGAGCTCCTGTAACTTTTGCTGCTTGTGTCTGCACAAGACTCGGAAGCAACCTTTCACGTGCCACGGGATATCCAAATGAGTTGCTCTCAAGGAAGATGTTGTCTAGAAAGCTATAAAAGTATACAAACCATTTTAGGTTAAAAAATAGGGATGAAACATTTCACAGAAATGTTGCTAATTTTAGAAGAAGCATTATTTCAGCCAACATTTGGTTCTCAAAGCTCTAAATTTGAAAACTACAACAACAAAAAAAAGCCTATTAAAGTAAATATGGTCATAAAATTAAAACCGAGAATAACAAATTTAGAGGTCCCAGTCTATGGACTTATTGTAGCCAAAATTCAACTTGGTAAAATTCTAGTTCAATGAAAGTTTGCTGGGAATTCCTCAGAATTCACTGCAATAGAACTTAAATGGCATGATTCCACGTATCCGTTTAAACTTGTAAGGAGAAAACTCAAAGCTACGAATTTCTACTTAGTACATCTGTCTTCAAAGATTCAAAACCAGAAGAGACTTCTTCATTCAAATGTAAATCAAGTCCTGGCCTCAGGATCACCATCCTTTTCCTCAAACTGAAGTGCCAATCCGCACATTACATGTCAGAAAACCTACACTGCCCTGCACCTAAATACAGCATCAAAGGCAAACTTGACGTCAGGAAAGAAATTATCATGTGTGTGTTTGGGGGAATTTCCCTACAGTTTCAGGTGAAAGAGAATTTATCCACAAGAGGGTAATCACTGCCCACATTTTCAATCTATAGAGAGACACTCCTAGAAATTCCCAAGAAGCATTTACCTTCTCGTGGACATTTTTCAAAGTTCTATTCAGTTATATAAGCATTCAACACTATTTTCTAAGAGTCCCAATTCTATCCCAATAATGCTTAATCTGTGGGAGAAACCCACATTAGATTGAAGGAGGCAATCATGACCTGAAGGTTCAGAAAAAGAACACAAATGCGTACTTTTCGTGAGGGCATTTAGAGATGGTTCCAAATCCCACAATAGCTTTATTGGGATTAGAAAGCTATAAAAAAAAGTCTCAAGTGACAGGAAAAAGATTACTATCATTTTTCAGAATTTGGGAAGACACCACTGAAGTTGTCAACGTAGGGTCCCAAGTGATATCAATATGGAGTCCAGTGACAAGCCACCTCTCAGGACCCGGTCTCCTCGGGGGCCCGGCCTTAGTAGAGCCCCTTGGGCGGCTCAGGCAAGCAGATCACGGACAGTAGATCCCTGCTGGGGTTACTGGGCCCACAGCCACAGCCCACACTCTCCAGTTCCTTTCATGTCCCGGGGAACAGAGACGCCCCTCCACAGCATGCCTTCCAGCCATCTGGAAGGCGAGAGAAGAGTTAGAGGGAAGAGAAAGGTCCTTTTCAGTGGGACACACTCTAGGCACCCCAGAAAGGGCAGCCTGGTCTGAGCTCCATCTTGTAAAGTAAACACACAGGGTTTTCTGTTGCTGTTCTGAGGGGCCAGTTTCTCAAGTCACTTTTCCACCAATCTTTCTTTGAAGATATCTTGTGGGTCACCCTTATGTTCTGTTATGGTTCTTTCTGGCTCTCTGGTGGTTCCTTTCTTCTAGGATCTTTTTTCTTAAAATGCCATTTTCAAAACCTCTCATTATACTAATGAAGGTATTATATTAATGAACCAATTGCCTGGTTTGACTCTGATTCCTCGAGGTGGCTTGTTTCTTCTTCTCTACCCTGCTCTCTCACACCAAAGGTTTTCCTGGAGCATCTAGCAGTCCTAGGCCTTAAGTCTGAGACCACAGAAAACTCAGAGGAGACGTGTGTCCTGGAACACAGGCTTTTAACTCAAAGAATGGACATGGGGTGGCATCCCTTTCGGAAGGTTAACTTTCTAACTAGCACCGGTGGGTCTCCCTGGACAGTTCTGACAGATTTTTCAGAGATCGGCCTGAGGGACACTCCGGTCTAGACCTCAGGGGCACCACAAGGCGGGGGTGGTGGCAGGGGTGAAGAATGTAAAGTGTTCTGACCCCGGACATTCCATTAAGCCCTGTGATTTTCGAATGGGACCCTCGCCCACCTAGCATTCAAAGGCACTAGCCTCCAGAGACGCCAGTGAGTCCCCTGGGCTGTGGCCACCCTCCCAATAATTCAAGAGACACCACGCCTCCTCCACCAGCTGTCACTCTGCCAAAAACGTTTTGAAGTTTCCTTTCAGTGCTGGTCTCCCTGCTCTTCATGTTGTCGGCCTACGTATTTTTTACTATTTTACCAGCACTGTAATGGTCTCTCCAGAGGAAAACAAAGATAAGTAAGGGTGCTCAATCCACTGAAATGCCTCTTGGCAAACAGGAGAACTGGACCTTTCCAGTGAGATGCTAGGCAGTGGCCTCTGACTTGTCAGAAAGGGCATTTCCTCTCTTTTCTAAACAATGATTTAGCTAAACAAAAGAAGAAGAAACAGTAGATCTTGAATCATAAATGGGAGCATTTATTCCTACTACAGTACTAAGAAGAAGACTACAGAGCTTTTTCCTATGGAAAATTTGAAATTAGAATCTGCATTACGTTTTCATATTGGGCTCAAACGAAATTGTTCCTGTGAAAAAGGAGGAGAAACCATAAAATGATTCAACAGGATGGAAACACTCCAACTATGTGCAATGGGCCGCCTAGTGTGCCACTGGTGTTTAGACAGGTAGAAAAAAGTATTCTTGTCTTTAATAATAAATACAATCCCAATGAAGACATAACTGATGCCAAATGCCATATAAATTATACACATTCATGTGCACACACGTTAGTATACCTCATAGACTATTGGAGGAAAAGATTCAAGATTCCGTGAATCGTATGATACACTTGTATGATTACAAAGAGGAACGGTGTCATTTTGTTCTGAAAGGAACAGGACTTAACAAAGGTGACATCTAAGAGTGTTAGAAGCAAATGACAGAGAACTCTTATAGTGATTACATCAGGTTAAAAGGAGAATATTAAGTCTCGTAAACCACAGAGTAAGCTACATAACATGAATCCTGAATACTTATGTCATAATCATTAAAACCTTGGTCAGTATTCACACGGATCCTTAAAAAGGAAGTTCCTGCTACCCAATATTCTGCACATTGCTTACTTAGGGGTTTTTTCCATATTATGAATGAAAACCAGAGAGTTGTTTTTTACTGAAAATAGCTTATTACTTGGTAGGCTATGACTTTTAATGACAACTATTCATCAGGCAGTTGGAAGGATTAACTAAGATAAGTACAAACTTTCTAACTCTTTTCATGAATACAGCTCAGGCCCTGTAAAAAGCGAAGCATCACTTGGTAAAGCAATCAATCACTGCTCTTTCATGCATTCAAATGTCTCTATCGCATACTAAATTTTCTTTTAGAAGAGCAGATGTAAAATGATTTAAACTAATTAATGTTTTTATTACAAGCTCAAAATGTCTTGCAAGCCCAAATTAACTTTGAGTAAAGCTGTACATTAAGTCATGAGTGCAAACTTATGGTCAAAGACATAAAATTATATAGCAATTTTTCGTTAATTTGAAAATTTATAATGAGAGTAAAAATTATTTCTGGAGCTCACAGCTTTCTAATCTCTGATTTGCCCCCCCGCA